GGCAGTGATTAGCCAAAGATAACAGGGTAACTTTGGTTTGTGGACAATCTAGAATATCTCTGTACCGTGTAAAAGTATATTTTATAATCATAGTAGTTTTCTATACTTTATCCTTTATTTTGCCTTGAATAGATTACTTCTGCTTTACACCAACATCCTGCTGTGCTAGTGTGTGTACATACATGTTAGCGTATTGAGTGTTGCATATACAAGCGCTAATATTACAGTCAAAGCCTAGCATGCTAACACCTGATTAGCACAGAACAAGTGTTTCATTGATTGCCTAAACTGCTGTTTGTGCTAAAACTGTCGTCCTGTGTTTGTTTTTCTTTTTTGTGTGTGTGTGTGGGGGGGAGTTACAGCCTGGGCTTTTATTTGGATCGGACATCTGACAGGCAGCGCTAATAATTAAAATTGTTAAGCTAAAGCAGAGCCAAAAACTGGACATGCTTGGGATTGCTACAGGTACTTATCTTGTGAATTTTAATAACAATAAGAATTTAATTAAATATGTAAATAATTTGTTAATACTTAGCTAGTGTCAATGCCAGTTTGTCCAGAACCTCCGAGGCCGGACGAAAGTCTGTCTCCAAACTTCTTCCAGACCAAAGAGAATCCTAAAAAGGGAAGATAAGTTTGCTAACTGTGATTCCTTAAAGCTTCTTGAGATTTTGCCAACTCCAGTCAGCTGAGCTTTTGCTTTGAACATGAACAACTTTCAAGGAAATTTGCTCTTTCCTTTTTTTCTTGGGTTCAGATGATCATCAGTGTGGAAGCCTATCTTAGCACGGAAAAGTAAAGAGAAACCAAGTCTGGTGCTCCAGTGCCACTGGTATATTTACTTCTACCTTCATAGTGCTTATCATGGCTGTGTGCAATTCATGAAGATTTCATAGTTTTCAAAAGATGCTGCATCCTTGAAAAACTCTCGGGAGGTCAAAACAAGCTACTTTGCAAAGAGTGCCATTTATTTTTGCCACGTTTGTTGGGCTGAAATACCAAACGGCTGTTCAGTCAGTAAAGTCATGAACACATTTCTCTGAACCCTGCCAGGTCCTCCTGAAACTAGACTAAGTAAAGGACAAGTCTTCACTGTCAAAGGTAAGTACAAAAATCTTACACTGGTTATAGTTACATAATGTTGATCCGTGGTTTTAATTTCAGTCGTGAAATCTGGCAAATAACAGAAATAAATATTCCTGCTTTGACTGTGAAATTAAAACCACAGGTCAACATTATGTAACTATAACCAGTGTAAGATTTTTGTACTTACCTTTGACAGTGAAGACTTGTCCTTTACTTAGTCTAGTTTTAGTCGACTAAACATTATTGGATCATCTTAGACTAAATCTGAAGTTGACTAAAATATAAAGTGTAAAAATGTAAAAGTTGCTGCACACAGTTTACCAAGCGTTAAATTTACTCTTCTCTTCCTCCCAAGCTTTGACATGTTGTCGGAGCATGTGAGCGTAATCCCGCCCCCCAGATCAAACTGTGCACGTCTAACTCCGCTGCACAACATGTAGTCACTATTCATCAACAAAAGTGTCAATACATTTCAATCTAGTTTTTGTCAAAATTAACAAAATGAACACAGACGTTGAGCCATCTGTTTTCAGCATGGGATGATCGGACACGTTAAGCTTCTAGATTAGAAGTTAGGAGCTACTAGAAAACTCCAAACACAGACGAGCATGTAAATTAGAAATTTGTGGTTTTAATTCTTTTCTCTTCCGCGTAGTGTCAGCCATGTTTGTCACCGAGGACAGGTTTTAGATCAGACGCCATGGTGCCACAGGCAGCGCACAGTCACCGCTGAACAAAAAGCAGTTCCATCAAGAAACCATGAGCGGGGTAACTTTAGAAGTCGTTTCAGGGTTGTTAGCGATGTCCTGGTTCCAGTCTCAAAAGAAAAGAGAAATGAGCAAATTTCCACAAATGTTTGACCGTTTATCTAGTGGCTATTGGTGAATTCTTTTAAACACAAAGTATGCTTCAGCACATTTTGAGGATTGCGGTTAGAGAGTAAATGACCCTTCATGTTCTTCAGGTTGTGCGAATCTGTTCATGCATCTTCGCCGATTTTGTGTGCAATAATCTGAGGTCGTGTTGCCAAACTTCTCACTGCAGTCTGTGGCAGGTTGATTCTGAGGGACTGCATCCTTCTGCACAACTGCACTGTAACGCCTGGCGCTCAGGTCGTGTCTGCGTGACGTCAGGAAGCGAGTTTATGTGTGATGAACTACTGACGAGACGGTGTCGATTATTTTTTCAGATTGTGTTTTCATGAACCCTGTGACCTCACAAATGTGACAGAAAATCTGAATCATGATGTCTGTGAAACTGTTGCAGCTGTGAGAGATTTCTGCTGGTTTGATCGATCACCCAGAACTCCTGTAAAGAAATGTCAGTAAACTGTGAACATTTAAACATGCGTGTTGTGAGTTGTGTGTCTTTAAATTTTAAGTGAATAGTGTGGACAAATGTTTTGGACGTGGCCTTTTCCTCTGGGGCGAACCAGGTTTAGACGATATGTTGATGAGCTGGACCCTGCTCTCTGCAGCCCATCTTTATGTTTGCAGTCAAATACAGAAACACAACTAATTTCTTATGATGAGTTGCAGGTGGGAGGAGTTACGAGTTTTCCAATTCTCCCTAAATGGGAACCTATCCGGTCTTTAAGTGATGACGTGATGAATCCTGCTTCCGGGCCCAAAGTAGTCTGCATTTAATAAGGCTGTTGTGTTTTTAACATGTTTTAATGTTTTGTATCTTGTTCTATTTAATCTCAACAAGCCCCTAAAAACAGTCAGTGATCACAGTCGGCCTCTCTAGGTTTTTATTACCGCTAATCATTTTAAAGCTTAGTTTTTAAAACCTTACGATGTAACTACAGCCCAGCAGCAGTATATGAATGACTAACCTCGTATTGTGGATGGATTATCTCAGTTGTTCTCCCGACTGAAGTTTAGCCCGTTTACAGCATCCTGCTATGCGATTGCATTTGTCCCGAACCATCGGGAACCCTCACGTTAACTTTTATCCAGTGGGAAAGAGTTAGTTTTCGTCCTCTAGCTTCACTGTTTATGCTAACGTAGCTGTGTTGCTAGCAATCACATAGCACGTCATTATATACCAGCTAGCCCAACTTCAGTAACCCTACAAACGTCACTGCTGTTTAGTTTTCTGTCTTCATTTATGTCAAAGTGATAGCAGAGCTGTACGTTTGAATTTGTTTCAGAAATCTCTCAGTCAGAACATGCTATGAAATGTTTAGGTGTAAACTAGCGAGCTAACTTCCTGCTAACTTCTAACTCCATTAAATTTCATAAATTCAGTTTTCATGGATGTTAAACTTAATTGTTACACCTGGTAAAGCAGCAACGCTGATCATTTTATTACAGATGAAACGATTTAGACAGTTTTTAACTCTGTGATGCCGCAGTGATCGTTAGACTTAGGGCCCTGCAGCAGAGTTTGGGCCCAGGCATGGCTAATGATGTCAGACTTAAAGACTGGATTCCATCCTGTTCCTCTTTTCCTTATTTTCTGACACAGATAGATAAGCCTGCTTTGTCTCATAGCAGAGTCTCAAGAGGATGGAGGAAACCATGGGGGGGATGTACAGACCTCTACAGGATAGGCAACAGCACCCTGACTGAATCAGGGCTTGGACCCAGCGTCAGACCCTATGATGGCCCTCTTTTTCACTATGGGAATGACCTTAGCATAACCTACTACAGCAGCACCAAAGACCCGATGTCTGGGTATTTAACATGTGATTACCAAGCAGGGATCTGTAGTTTGTCAGATCTGTCTCACCTGTAACACCTGGCTTTAGTGACCAGTGTTGGTCAAGTTACTTGAAAAAGTAATCAGTAACTAATTACTGATTACTTCCCCCCAAAAGTAATCCTGTTACTTTACTGATTACTTGTTTTTGAAAGCAATTAGTTACTTAGTTACTTTTTAACAACACGATTTACATAGGTAATGAAGCGACAGATCAATCCCAATTCTACTTTTTCTGCATAATCCATCATATAAAATGTAATCAAATGGAAAAGTCTCTTTTTAAAACTTGTTTTATTAGTTTTAATCTTTTAACTTTATGCATCAAGCAAAAAATAAATTATCTGCAACATTCTCTGACTGGAAGAAATTAGTTTAACATTTAAACCTATTTTCTGCACATTCCAGCACATAAAATAAAAGTTTTTTGTGTTTACACTCACTCTTTCAAATAGATGCAAGTAAAACACAGCAGAAACTAAATAAAATCAAAGACACAGCGGTTCTGTTGCTCTATTTTCACCTGTATAGCAGGAGTGAGGCAGGCGGAGGTTTGCCCTGGTGCAGGTGTGTCGCAGCCGTCATGTCAGTGAAGTTTAGGGTTTTTAGCTGTAAAAAGAAGTTTTCTTCCCACGCACAGCGGACACTAATGTTTTTGTCACTTTTTATGGAATCAAACTCAAAGTAAGGTCAGTACTTCCACGCTGCACGCTCATACTCTCTCTGCACTCGATATATTATCCATTGTTGATCTGCACACAGCTGTTGCCACAAATGTCGCACTCGCTTACGTCACTGTCATGAGACACTCTCGCAAAAAAATATCACGGTTTTAGTAACGCAGTAGCGTGCTCACGGGAAAGTAACCGTAATCTAATTACCTTTTTGCATTAGTAATCCCTTACTTTACTCATTACTTGAAAAAAGTAATCGGATTACTGCCCATCTCTGTTAGTGACAAAGGTGAAAACGCTCAGCTCAAGGCTTTACAAGCAAGCTTTGCTGAACATGAGCTCATTTCTTTGTGCCGTCTTCAAGCACAGCTCACAGGCACAGGATGATACCTCTAAGAACAGTAAGGACTTCTTCCAACGGTGAGTAATGCAAAGCCACATTGTGAATTTCTAGAATGAAAACATAAAACTTTGAGCAAAGAAGCCCCACAGACCTG